ATATGACTCTCAGAGGAATAAAATATAGTTAAGAATTCTCAAAGAGTAGCAATGTCAAAAGGCAGGAGAGCCACTTAAGATGCCTATTGCTCTCCTGATGTCTTCAGTCCTGGCCACATGGACCCTAACAATCCTACATGCAAGTCTTGGCTGTGCCATCAGGTCACTCCTGTCTTGCCCAGACCAGTCTGCAAAGATATTTTGCTGTTAGAAAGATGGGGAGCAGGTGGCCCCGTTTCTTTCTAACTGGGCTTAGCTTAGCTCACCATGGGGCAGAGGGAGGGTTTCAGAGACTGTCAGTCAAGACTTCCTCTTCACCATGCCCTTCCCCAGATGACACTGTATATGATCCCATTTTCCCGACTTCATTAACCTGATTAATATGTTTTCAGGCTCAGTAATAAACTCAATACATGGGGTAAAGAAAGAGAGAAACAAGTGTTTCTTTGATGTGTAACTTCAATTACTCACACAAGTTTATGTCTCACTGTGTAATAATATTTTAATAAAGATGCCAGAAAAATCCTAGCTAAAGGACAATTTAAAACGTTCCTTCAAGTACAAATATATATTAAGTACTTAATATATATAATATGAATATATACACTTGTCACATACAAGTACACAATAATTTGTAGCGTAATATCCCAGGTCGATGTATGCATCAGATTTTCTGGCAAGTTAAAAAAAAAAAAAAAGGGAGCATTTAATGAAGGGCGTGTCTACATAAGAGACAAAATCAGGGCTGGCACCATGGCATAGCGTGTGCGAGCTCCTCTACTGGCGGCCCAGGTTCGGATCCCAGGCGCATACCAACGCACCACTTGTCAGGCCATGCCATGGCGGGGTCCCACATAAAGTGGAGGAAGATTGGCACGGATGTTAGCTCAGGGCCAGTCTTCCTCAGCAAAAAGAGGAGGATTGGCATGGATGTTAGCTCAGGGCTGATCTTCCTCACAAAAAAAAAAAAAGAGAGAGACAAAATCAAGGACACGCCAGGAACTGTAAAAAATTTATCTTTGTTCACAAAAACAGATACTATTAACTTTATAAGTGAAATATTCTAGTTCATTTTAAGTAAGTCGGGCTGCCTTTTTTTTTTAATTGAGATATAACTGACATACGTTTTATTAGTTTCAGGTGTACCATAATGATTTGATATTTGTATACTGTGAAATGATCACCACAATAAGACTAGTTAACAAAGATAAGACTAGCTAACTACTTTGCTCCTTTTGATCCCCCTCATCCATTTCACCCACCCCCCACCCCATGATGCCTTTTTATACTTGTTTCAGCCACAGGATTAAACATACAATGTGTAGATCTCAATTTTTTATTAAATTAGTTGCTTTATAAAACATTGCAGATGTCATAATTGTTAACATAATTTACCAAACTGTAGTTAACTGGTGCAGTTAGCTGAGCACGGTTTATAAAGGAAAGGGAATGCCAACACCTGTTCAAGTTGTTCCACTGCAGCCCCGGAGAACAAAGGAGATTTGTTTCTCAGACACTTAAATCAGGCAAATAAAACAGGTAATCAGTTTCGCTGCCCCATCTGAAGCACTCCATCAGTAGAATAGTCTGATAAATACAAACTAGACAGTCTATGCATTCAAGAGATTCTGCAACTTGTAAAGCAATAATGGAGATGTTTATCTCCTTCAGCTTCAAAGTTGGAGGTACCAAACTAATGCTTTTCAGGCGCCATATCTTTACTCTGAGATAAGCCATCTTCTTTACAATGTATTTTTAATATCCTCATGCTCAATTTTAAAACAAAGCAATTTGAATACTAGGTGCACGCCACATACCCTTGCTGCAAACTGCTTTTCTTGACCAGTTATGAAGTAGTTCAAGGAGGTGTGGTTAAGGCTGTATTACTGAATGGTGCTGGTAAATACTACACACTTTTGTGTCATGTTGCAATCTTTGTTTCCAATTTAGTGACTGCCACAATGAATCAGACAGCAACGCTGACAACATTAGGTTTGTTTTTTTAAACTATGATTTAATAGCAATTGAGGTTCCCAATTTTAACTCCTTGGCAGCAAGATCCAAGTTCCTTCATTTGCATATTAGCACCTAAGTGTCAAGGGGTTAAATAGTCAGCAGAAAAGATACTGCACTTCTGATTGTAGCATTTGGCAGAACTGAAAGGAAAGGAGTTATGCTACATGTTGAAGGGATTGCAGGCAACAGAAAAAAGACACCAGAAGATAAAATGTCACATGAAGTCTTCCTAGTCTTGTACGTAGCCTCCATTGTGACCACCATAATCTGCCACATCGTCTTCCATGGTGGCCTCTAATGCCCCTCCAGGAAACACATCTTCTTCTTTCTGGCTTTGCATTGATTGCTTCTGTTTTTCACTGCAAAGCACAGTCAACGAAGTGGTAATCTTTGCCAAGTCATCAATCTCCAATGAAATACACACATCTCGAACTAAGGCTTCCAAAAAACTGGCACAATCCAGTGACTTTTCATATTGTGTAATTTTATCTCTAAGTAACTTTCCAAACTCTGTGAAGTCATCTCTTGAAGATGGGTTCATAGCATCTATTCCATAAACTGTATTATTAACACCAAAAGTGTCTTTTGCTAATTTGAGGTTTGACTCCTCCTGTAATATCTTTAGCTGAAGGTTATCTGCTAATTGTTCTTCTGGTGTTAGCACTTTAGGTTCTTCAGGTTCTTCTAACCTCTTTTTAATTTCTTCCCACCTCTTCTCTTCTATCTTCTCTATTTTTTTTCCTTTTTGAAATTTTTACTTCTGGTTTTACTTCTGCTTCCTCTTTTTTTCTGCAGTCATCATCATCATCCCAGTTATCCTTGATGTCCTTGTCCTGGTCCTCGCCTTCTCAGCGGTCCCTGCCCCCCACCTTCCACACGGGGGTCTTCCATGCAGAACCTGTCCGCTCCCAAGAGTCGGATCCCCCATCACTGCCACTGCCATCTCGAGCCAGGTGTGAGCGTGTGAGGGGAGAGCTCAATTTAAAAAAAAAAAAACTACAATGTAATAGAGGTGAATGAGTTGCAAATTTAGAGTCAGAAGCCTTGGTTTTCAGCCTCAGTTCCAATAATTACCAGCAAAACTGCCTCAGGCTAACGGTCTCACATGTGAGTTTTATCCTTATCATCACCATTACTACCACCATTTCCACCTTACAGATAAGGAAATTCATACCATTTTCCCTGATCACTTTGAGATCTAGACCCAATCCTGTCTTTCAAAGTGTTTTACTAGCAGCTTTATAGAGTGTACATGAGAAAGTGATTCATTCTACCAGGAACAAGCTCCGTTCTCCATTGTCCACACTTTAATATGCATCAAGAGCCTTACAACTTCATACCTGATGGAACAAGACAGAACAAGAATGATGGGTATTTGGGAGTTCATCACACTACTCTCTCTGCTTTTGTATATGCTTGAAATTAACCATAATAAAGTTTTTTTTTAAGTTTTTATAACCAATTGATTCATTACGTTTTTACTCCCCTTCTCAAGGTGTAGAATATTTTCACGGCACCATGATTTTTCTGGTTTTCCGTTTTTACAACCCAAGGTTGTTCTCTCTAGAGATTCACATCAGTGCCTACCCAGGTCCTTCCTAAAGGGATGCCCTAGATCTGCCCCAAAGACACATCAATAATTCAGAGATCTCCTTTGGGAAGCAGGAAGGGGGCTACCTACAGACAGGGACGTGCAACACTGAGCCACATCTCTTTTTCCGTTGGCCGGGAAGACTGACCCTTTTCTCTAACTGGCGCCACCATCGGAGTCCCCTGCAGCTACGCTCTCCAACCAGTCTCAGGGCGGGCTGGGGCAGTGTCTAGTGTGGGCATTAAAGCATCTGATTCCATTCCCCATCCTTATTCTGCATATAGAATTTGAGGTTGGAAATCATCTGTCCTAACAGTTCCTCTGTCTTTTCTCATCCATTGGCTGCTAGACCAAAGCTCTTCTGATTCATATTCCTCTTGTACATTACCTCCCTCTCCCTCTTTCTTTAAAAGCTTTTAAAATCTTATCACCTTTATTTTAAAATTTTACAATGATGTGCTTTGAGTCGGTTCTCTTTTTATTCCTTTTGCTGGGCAAATAGCATGTCCTTTTAATTTGAAGACTCATGTCCTTCAGCTTTGGGGGATTTTCTTGTATTATTTCTTGCATAATTTCCTTCCCTCCGTTTTCTCTATCTTCTCTGTCAGGAACTCTTATCAGTCAGATACTAAACTTTTGAGATGAATCCTCTATGTCTCTTATCATTCTTCGATATTCTCAGTGTTTTTGCATTTGTGTTCTACTTTCCAACCATTTTTTTTATTTGTTTTACTTTCCAAGATTTCCTCAACCTCATCTTCCAACCTTACTCTTTGATTTTATTCCAGCAATTGTATTTTAACTTCCAAGAGCTCTAATAGTCCAATTGTTCTTTTTCCACAGCATCCTGTTCTTGTTTAGTAGATGTTAGATCTCCTGAACTCTCAGAAAACACTAATAAGAATTTCTTCCAAACTTGTTTTTTTCTAATTCATACTTGGCTCACTATATGTTCTATTTATATGTCCATGATGTCAGTCCACACGTCTGATCCTGCCCACCTAGGAAGAAGGACACCTGTACCACATGCAAATAGGCAATAATCAATTACTTTTTGATAATGACCACAACAAAGAAAGTATCTAAGTGCACAAGAAGTGGGCCAGGGGCTGGCCTGGGGGCCTAGTGGTTAAGTTCGTGTGTTCTGCTTCAGCAGCCCGGGGTTTGCCGGTTCAGATCCTGGGTGCAGACCTACTCACCACTCATCAAGCCATGCTGAGGTGGCATCTCACATAGAACAACTAGAACGACATACAACTATGACATACAACTATCTACTGGGGCTCTGGGCAGAAGAAAGGAAAAAGCAGGAAGACAGGCAATAGATGTTAGCTCAAGGGCCAATCTTCCTCAAAAAAAAAAAAGAGGAAGAAGAAGAAGTGGGCCAGCTTACCTTCATGGAGTCAGAGTATAAAATATATTCCCTGAGCACAGGTAGAAAGTCTTCTGTCATGTCATCTGTCAGCTCTTCCAAGGCTGTTGAGCAGTTCCCGATGCAAGCCGACACACCCTCCAGGGGTTCGGCCAGTTCCCCCTCTAATGTGCTCCATGTGGAGTACACAGGCCCATATTCTCTCAGCTCCACAAGGTACTCTAAATGGGGAACAGAAACCAGTTAAGATCTGCTGGGTAACAATCACTGGTATTACTGACTCAATAACTACCACAGCCAAGAGCTCTCTACATTAAGATGTGTTTCCCTTGGCCATTCACTCACCTGAGCATGCTCTCCTTTAAACACAACACTGTTTATAACATAATTTTTTAAAATCTCTAAAAGCTGATGTTAGAGCTAACATCATAACATCAATCGACTCCACCCCATAACGGGAATGCCATGCCTCTGGATAATGGGGACCACAATGACTTTTGGGAGAAAGTGGTTGGAGCTGCATCCACCAAGTATCTTTAAAAATAACCACTCATGGTGGGCAGGCAATGGGGGCACAGTTTCATATAGGTTTAGGGGGATGTTTTTAAAGGAAAAAACATATACCGTGATGGAAAAATAATGAGATTTTAGGAAACATTTGGATACAGATGAGGTCTTACATAGGCAGACTCACTCTCTCACTGAGGGGTCACCCCAACCCCTTGGTCCCATCAGAATTTACTTCACATGACCCTTAGGTGTAGATGGTACCTAAAGCTACCTCCAACATCTACAGCCCCCACAAGATACCATCAGTGGGAAAAGGAGAACGAAAGCACAGGGAACAAGGAAAAATGTTGATTTATTTCCCCCCACAAAGAAAATCTGGCCCATCATTTGTCACCAGAATTCTTGCCATTACAATAAAACGTTGCCATTTTTTAGTACCAATGGATGGCAACTACCGGAGAATCCTTTTCAACATGTTTAACATGCCACCATGATCATTAAGATTGTTCAGGTCTGTCTGGCTGGCCTACACATGTGTAAGAAGACAAAGACTTCAACGTTTCGGAATACAGAAAAGCAAGCAACCATGAGGAGGGTGGGGAGGAAGTGGTGGCAACAACCAGGAAGGATAAAGAAAGGCCCCGGTAACTCCCCAGGTCAGGAAGAGTGGGTCTGAAATGAAGCCGGGGTGGGGCAGGTGAGTCAAGTTCAATTCTGAAGGCTCATTAGGATCACAACTTGGGCAAACACAGGTCATGCTGTCCTTTTGAACCACCTTTCTGTCAGAAGATAAAACCTAAGTTTGTTTTGTAAATTCTCATTCCTGCGAACAAAAGGAAGTTGAGTCAATGTCTCTATTGTTAAAGCTAAAGTTAAGAGACAGAAAAGTAGAAAAACCTAGAAGCTCAGAAGTGGTTCTTTCCCACAGGGAAAGCAAACACAAGGCTGAGATGCAGGACAAAGGATGGAGCACAAAATTACACTCTAGTCACAACTACCTCCTCCCCTCCTTGTATTTATTTATTAGTCTTATTAGTAAGATATGGCCTCGTTCTGTCACTTCAGCATTTCTGCAGTTGGATTCTGCTAAGCACACATGAATGTCATTTCTGCAAACGTGGTCCCTGGGCATGATCAAGGTCTCCACAGAGAGCTCACCTATTTCTTCTTTGATGATGCGCTGGGCTATTCGATCAATGGTTCCCAGTTTGAGCGCAAACGTATCCAAGTATTCGCCTATGGCTGCAAACTCAAGAGGCCGACTCCTCAGCTTGTAGCCCCCAGTGACATGCTTGACCGACTCGCCCACTCTAGTCAACAGCGCCATCCCTTGCTTCTTGTAGGCGTTCAGGTCCTGAGGATGACACATGAACACACAAACTCAAAGGGCTCAATCCCTCACATGGCCGGGACTCGGTAAATCAACTCCTTCAGGCAGTTTCTTTTGGGAAATGGAAGACTCCAGAAACAAGGAGCTGAGTTAGAGGACCTAACCACGTACACAATGGTATCCCCTCCCTGACATCACAACCGCCAAGCTCCCATTCCTGTGCGTTTACACCCCCATCTCTTTTAAGAGAACTAGGCTATCTTTCTAACCAGGTTCACTCACCTGAGCAGGCTCTCCTCTAAACACAATGCTGTTTCTAACATAATTTTTTAAAACCGCTAACCAAAAAAAAGTGGCCCTTTCTCCCATACAAAATACCCTAAGTTGTCTTTAGGAGCAAATTCAAGAGCTGAAATTCATTCCATTCATTTATTTATATCCCAACCAAAGCCGTATAAGGAAAGTAGAGAGTAGAGGGTGGAAGCAGGAACAGTGACAGAAGAAGCAGCACTAGAAAACCCAGGCTGAGGAGAGATGCTGTAAACAACAAAGCATTTTACCCTGAATTCCTTGGTCACAGCATAAATGGGAAACACGTTGAGCTACATAATCCATTGTACCTAAATTTAAGAAGCATGTTAGCCTGCCAGGTAAAACAGGCTTCTTCCTATCATTAAATTCTAAGAGGAGGGCCGGCCCTGTGGCTTGGTGGTTAAGTGCGCGCGCTGCGATGCTGGCGGCCCGGGTTCGGATCCCGGGTGCGCATCGAGGCACCACTTCTCCGTTCATCCTGAGGCCGAGTCCCACATACAGCAACTAGAAGGATGTGCAGCTACGACACACAACTATCCACTGGGGCTTTGGGGGGAAAAAATAAAATAAATAAAATCTTTAAAAAAAAAAAAAAAAAAAAATTCTAAGAGGAATCTACAGTATCTTCAGGTTGTTCTATGTCCCTTTAATGGTGCCTTCAAAAACGATTTTACAGAAGATGCAGGTGTCTTCCTTATACCCACCCTAAATACAAACAGAATGCTAATTCCCAGTCCCAGAAGGGCATGTCTACAGGGAGATAAGAGAACACAACACAAGCCATTGCTTTCTGGTGACCTAGCTGGATATAGGGACAGAGCAGAGAACAGGGAATCATGGTTAACACAGCTGCCCGACAGCCCCTCCTCATTCTTTTTTTTTTTTTTTTTTGGTGAGGAAGATTAGCCCTGAGCTAACATCTGTGCCCATCTTCCTCTATTTTGTATGTGGGACACCACCACAGCATGGCTTGATGAGCGGCATGTATGTTCACGCCTGGGATCCGAACCTGCAAACCCTGGGCCGCCGAAGCAGAGCACGTAAACTCAACCACTACACCACCAGGCCAGCTGCTACCCCTCCCCATCTGACACACAATCGGAGACTCAGGTCTCCATCAGTGTCTGCAGTGTAGACTCCTTCTGATTTTACTTCCTCCTTCTTCATATATCCAAGGCCTTCACTTTTGCTCTTTCCTATTCACACTATCCTCCCAACCAAGGCCTTTGCCCTATCAACTATCTCCTCTCCTGTCTCTACCTTCAACTTCTAATTCTTCAGCATGTAAAATATATCCAAGGCTCACCCATCTTAAAAACAGCAGCAATCCCCTCCAGACCCCCTCCTCCATCTCCTTCCTGTCAAAGTCAGGCTGCCTGAGAGAATGTTCTAAATATTCCATCTCAGGGCCAGCCTGGTGGTGTAGTGGTTAAGTTCGCATGTTCTGCTTCAGCAGCCCGGGGTTCCCGGGTGCAGATCCTGGGCACAGACCTACACACTGCTCAGCAAGCCACACTGCGGCGGTGTCCCACATACAAAATGGAGGAAGAATGGCACAGATGTTAGCTCAGTGACAATCTTCCTCAAGCAAAAAGAAAACGATTGGCAACAGATGTTAGCTCAGGGTCATTCTTCCTCACCAAAAAAAAATTAAATTAAAAAAAAAAAGATTCCATCTCCCCTTCTAACCTCATACTCTCTAGACAAAAAACATCCCTATAAGCACCAGGCTTTCACGAGACCATAACTGAAGCCTTGGAGGTCTAGGAATTGCTTCCATAGACAATATTTTTGGGAGCAGGGCTAGATCCAAATGGGCTCGTTGGACTACACAAGCTCTACTTGAAGTAAAAAAGAAGCCCCAGTTAACCCAGTTAATTAACATGTTGAATCAAGTTATTTAGGAGTACCTATCTGATTGGTGCACCCATATGACCAAAGGTGAAAATACTGATTTGAACGTAGTTGAACCTGAGTGTTCCCCCACCTCTCCCAGCATTATTGTCTTCTTCTTAAAGACAATTCCGGTTTGTGACAAGATCACATCATGACAAGGAAGAGGAATGCTTCTGCATCTGCTGTGGCAGAGCACGGAAGTGGCTCATCTAAGAACAAGACCAAGTTCTTCAGGGTGTGTTAAAAGAAAAGATGGGGGGCTGAGGGGAGTAGGAGATGGGAAGTTGTTGTTAATGGGTATAGAGTTTCAGTTTTGCAAGATGAAAAAGTTCTGGAGATTAGCTATACCACAGTGTGAACATATTTAACACTGATGAACTATACACTTTAAAATGGTTAAGATTGTAAATTTCATGTTATCTATATCTTACCATAATTAAAAAGCAAAAGGAAAAAAAGAAAAGATTGGGTTATTTAGTGCATTTAGTTCAGCAAGTAAAACTGACCAAGGGCTAGAATCTGTTCTGTTTAAACAAGCCAACCCCCTGTACTCACTCAGATGAAGTTGGATTTTGATTAAGATGGCTAAAGGACTTGATTTTTTTCAATCATTTCATATTGCTTGGCCCACAGATAAATATCACACACACACAAAAATCTTTCCTACTTATTCACACAGATTCCTAAGACCAGAGGTTCACGCTTTTTCCCCCTTTATCTCTCTGTTCAATAAAAATGACTAAGCTGGGCCGGCCCCGTGGCTTAGCGGTTAAGTGCACGCGCTCTGATGCTGGCGGCCCGGGTTCGGATCCTGGGAGCGCCCCGAGGCACCACTTCTCCGTCCAACGCGAGGCCGAGTCCCACGTACAGCAACTAGAAGGATGTGAACCTATGACGTACAACTATCTACTGGGGCTTTGGGGGGAAAAAACTGAATAAATAAAATCTTTAAAAAAAAAAAAAAAATGACTAAGCTTGAGGGCCCACCTGGACAACGGACCTGTAATTCAGGTGAAACAGTGAGTTGCACTTTTGGAGAACAGGATGAATTTTACTTTGTATATAAGCTGAAAGAACTATATCTGAGGATCAGTTCACCAGGAAATACTTATTTTTAAAAAGAACACAAGTTTGACCTACAGGGGGAAAAGGCCTCCAGGAAAGAGAAAAGATTAATGGGAATGTCACCCATGAGGCTAAATGCCAATTGAGGTTTAAAAAAAAAAAAAAAAACCCCCAATACTAAAGGACTTTGCCATGTGGTTTCCATTGTCTAGAGAATGGCATTCCCTTTAAAGTCTTTCAAGTCAACTGATGTTATCTGTAAATGTTTCTCAATTTTGTCATTTTGAAAAAGAAAACTAAAAAGTACCTGGGCCTCAATACCTTGCCAACATGAAACAAATTACCTATAACCTGAATGTGGGAACGTGATACACGAAACTAAACAGACGGGGCTGAAAGGAAGTTGGCATGAGAGTCAGAACGTGAGATCCTGTTTCTGCAGACAATTAGAGTGGAGCACCTCAGGTTTTCTGGCCAGTTCTGCCAACAGGAAGTGTAGAGAGAAGTGAGGGAATGACCAGCTTGCGTTTGAGTATGCAGAATCCGGCAACTGTGTAGGACACAATTATTTCTCTGGCAAATGCTTGGAAAATGCCCACCCAATAGGAACTTGGCTGCGGGAAGTAACACTGAACTACTCTTGGTCAGACAGTCTGATATAGGGGGAAAGGGTGGCCTCAAGAGTCACAAAGACCCAATTTCAAATCTTAGTGATGCCACTTGAACAAGTACAAACTCCCTGAACTTCCGTTTCCCCCTCTGTAAAATGAAGCTCTGAGTAACCACTCACAGGGTTCTTGTGAAGAACATCCTTACCAAACGCTCAATAAAAGTTCTTTCCCTTTCGTGCCCACTGTTGCTCAGAATGGCCTCACCCAGTAGCACGCCAAGAAGTGTTTAAAGAAACACTTGTCCCTGTTTTCGGAAAGTGAAAATATTCTAACCTCCTCTGCTGTTCTGAGGAGGTGTTCTCCTGAATTCTAACCCAGAAACCATGCTAATGCAAATGGACGCCAAAAACCAGAGCAATTCTATGACGTTCACTATAGTGGGCCAGTCGTGAAGGTGGCCTGTGAGAGATCAAAGCAGCTTCTAAGAAAGACCCTGAAGAATGCTAATTTGGAGGAGGAGAATGAAAAATTCTGTCCTTACCTTAGCAGTAAGGAAAACATGAAAGTGTTCGTTGAAAGAGAGCACAGGATGATCTGTAATTCTTTTTAGGAATTTATCCAAAGCTTTTCTTCTGGTCTCCACAAACTCTTCTGAAAAACGATCCACAACACCTTTCACCACAAACTTCTCAGGAAGCGGCTATGAAGACAGGAAGAAAACTATTTAGAGTAATTGATAACACGGTGGAAAGAAAAACCACAGGCTAGCAAATAATTCCTATGACACACCGGTCAAGAACAGTATTTCTGAATCGGTTGGATCTTTATGCAGTCATCAATATAAACATTTCTGAAAAATACAGGTGGAGTAAATCACAACTACCCTATCAATTTTATAATGTGAGAAATAAAACATTAGAACATAGTCCCTGGAATACAGAAAACGGTCAGTCAACTTCTATCTAGTAAATCCAATAGTATAGTTATCGTTACATTGCTTGATGCAGATGATATAATGGGAAAGTCAGGCAAGATAAGAAAGTTAGTCTAAGGAAAAAAGGCAGACAACACTAACCACACAAAAATTTATATAAATATCTTAAGATTCTACTCCCAGTTCAGTTAAGAACCTGGTAAATGGAGAAATAAATACATTAGGCAAACTCATGTATCTAAAAAATACCTTTTCTAAGCCAACTTTTTTGTTTAGGTTTACCCTCAAAAGTTCTTAAAAATGTGACTCCCTTTACTCAAGCAAATTTCTCTAGCATATTTATTTCGAGCCAATATTGTGGGCAATTTAAAACTACCTGGCTACCAAGGGATCTTTGAGCTTTAACCTATTTCCGTAATAACTTCATTAAATGCTTGATTAAAAGGCCTTCCTCATCACTACCACCACAGGGAGAGAATCTACTAATGCACAATTTGAAAATGTTTTGGTTATGAAATATTAAAAGAACATTTACATTAAAAAATAAGCAAATCACCTGGCAGATATTTCTCCAAAGAAAATATACAAATGGCCAACAAGCACATGAAAACATGCTCAACATCATTAGTCTTTAGGGAAGTACAAACCAAAGCCACAAAGAGATACCACTTCATGCCCACTAGGATGGTCATAATAAGGAAGAAAAGAGAGAAAAGCAAAGTCAAGAACAAGTGTTGGTGAGGATGCGGATAAACTAGAAGAAGTATTTAAGTCCTCGGCCTCCTTAAGCCCTATATTATGGCAATAAAGAGATTTTTTTCAAGTTATAAATCCTCGAGCATACACCAACAAAAAGAGAAACAAGGTCTTAGCCAATGCCGAAACAGGAACCAGGTGTAGGGCATCACGTGGAAATTCCCTAACCATTTTGCTTCCTCCGAAACCCATCTACTGGGCACCACCTTCACCTCCATTCCTCAGGACCCTGTAACAACACACCCCTGCCCAAAGCTAACTGTTCCATCTGTGTCCTTGACCCATTAGTTCACGATCGTGCGCCTGCTGTCATCAATTAATTACACCTTCTCTTCCCTGTATCTTCAAAATCTCCTCCTTATTCAGCTCTGTTCCGCATCTCACAAATATAGCTGGTTCTCTTTCTACCTGAACAAAATAAATCCAACTATCCCTTGACCTTATATCTTCTTCTCCACTCTCCTTGCTATCTCATTCAACCTTTTTGAAAAGAATCGCGTATCTTTACTTCCACTATTTCCATTGATTTCTCAACCCCCAACCTTCCTCCACACCAAAACAAAGCTGGTACTGCCTTCAATGCTGCATTTCTCTTCCCTATCCCTACCCAACGCAGAAACTGCCCTTTCAACAATGGTCAATGACTTTCTGATTACCAAAGCCATTGGATATTTTCCTGTTCTTATCTTGTGAGTCCTGTTGAGCATACTCTCATTTGCTTATGCTGAATAGGACTTGGGAGGAAGGCCTAATGAGCAAATAGTGGTTAGGTGTGCCCCACTGAACATAACAGATAACCTCCTGAAATAGTTATCCACTCTTCAGATCTAGTACATTGAACTTTACGTTTAATGAATCAGGGAAGCTTGCTATTTAAAGGAAACCCGGGGTGAATCCTTCTGCAAACAGAATTTCCTTCTATAATAAGCATTATTATTCTCAAATATACATGGCTTCAGAAATTTGTTTCCTCCTATTTCAAGCTTCCTTAAAGGGGCACACCTACTCTCAGCCTCACCTTTATAATTACCTTCTGGGTTGTTTATGCATAGGAATCGGGGGTGCTGGTGAAACCAAGTAGAAATGAGATAATACAAGAGAGGAGCTCAACACAGCTCCAAGCACATGACAGATGTTGAATGAATGCCAGCTATTTTTATTAATTTGTAAACATTGAGAACAGAAAGCAAAAAGGAGAGCAGACTAAAGGGTGGAATTCCATATATCTTTTAAGCCAAAATGTTTTAAAAAATCATCTGGGATACCATTTAGCACTCACTAGGATGTCTATAAAAGGAAAATAAGTGTTGGCAAGTACGTGGAGAAAGTGGAATCCTCATACATTGCTGGTGGGAATGCAAAATGGTGCAGCCACTGTGGAAAACAGTTTGGCAGTTCCTCAAAAAACTAAACACAGGATTACCATAGGCTCCAGCAATTCCACTCTTTGGTATATAGCCAAGATAACTGAAAGCAAGTGTTCAAAATAAAACTTGTACGATAAACGTTCAAGCAGCATTATTGATAATAGTTGGGCTGAGGAAAAGGGGGAATGGGAAGTGATTGCTTAATGGGTACGGGGTTTGTTTTTAAAAGGGTGATGAAAATGTTCTGGAATTAGACAGTGGTGGTGATGGGCAAAGATTGTGAATGTGCTAAAAGCCACTGAATTGTACACTTTAAAATAGTGAATTTTATGTTATGTGCTTTTTACCTCAATTTAATAAAAAGGATGCAACGATGGAAGCAGATGTCAGAGAGGAGAGAAGACGCTATGCTGCTGGCTTTGAAGCTGGAGGAATGGGCCATGAGCCAAGGAATGTAGGGCAGCCTCTAGAAGCTGGAAAAAGCAAGAAACAAATTTTCCCCTAGAGCCTTCAGAAGGAATGCAGCCTTGTCTACACCTTGATATTAACCCACTGAGGCTGATTTTGGACTTTTGACCTCCAGAACTATAAAATAGTAAATTTCTGTTGTGTAAGTCATTTTTTAGAAAAACCACCTGGTATGGGGATGAGGGGGTGGGTAGGGATAGAGATGAAACAAGATTAGCCATAAGTTGATAAATGTTGAAACTGGGTGATGAGTACATCAGGATTCACTGCACTGAATGTCTCTACTTTAGTATATTTGACATTTCCCATAATGAAAAAGTTCTTTAAAAACTACATATGGATAAATATGATGGAACCTACAAAAAATTCTATTTGCAAAGCATTACAAGAACCCATTACATATTGCAAGGTTTAATCTTAAAATATTTACATTTTTATAGCACTTGATACTTTGGTAAAGCACTTGCACATATATTTCATACTAGTTTATAAGAAAGTATTTTATAATCTGTGAAACAAAAGCATATTTCCTATAGATGTCACTGAAAAGCTACTATTTCTGGGTAGGAAATCTGGACAAAGATTTCAATTGCTCAATCTTGAAATGTCTGAATTCCTCTTGTCAGCATTTAATTGCTTTTTCTGTGCAATTCAACAAATATTTAGTGCATATTCACTACATGACAGAAAACTTTTTCCTATCCTTATCAAACTAACAGAAAATATTGCTCCTAAGCAAAAATAAGTAACAAATAAGTAAAAAAGCATCAAGATTAAAACCCTTGTCCCTACAAAGAACAATCACCAAGCTTGGTTTAATTCATAGTACTTGAAAGTTGAACCAACGTTCAACTACTTCTTATCTACTGGGTAAGCTAAAAGCATGTATACGCTTTTTTAACAGTACAAAAAAAGGAGAAACCAACTAGAAAATGAAGTTCGAGTTTTCACTGATTTTTTTTTTTTAAAGATTTTATTTATTTATTTTTTCCCCCCCAAAGCCCCAGTAGATAGTTGTATGTCATAGCTGCACATCCTTCCAGTTGCTGTATGTGGGACACGGCCTCAGCATGGCCGGAGAAGCGGGGTTTCGGTGCGCGCCCGGGATGCGAACCCGGGCCGCGAACCCGGGCCGCCAGCAGCGGAGCGCGCGCACTTAACCGCTAAGCCACGGGGCCGGCCCTTCACTGAGTATTTCATATTAAGAAAAACAGTTGTTGCATTACAAATTTCTGATTAATTCCTAGGACTTTGCCGCTATCCAAAACAAAACTGGGTGCATAATAAATACAAATGCATCCTTCCAGCAAAGCTTCCTTCATAAAAATGGAAGCAAACATTAAATTTCCAAGTGAAATTAAACACTAAATGTAAATGCTCCATCTCTAAAATCTATCTGTCCCCATCGAATCACAAAATCTGACTGCTGAGTAACTAGCTGTGTCTCAGCAAATGAAGCAGTGTTAAAACCAACTTCTGAGCCAAAAAATAAATTAAAAAGCAAAAACCATGTCACGATGAAGACTTTCTGGTGGCTCTATTACATAATAGAGAAAAGTGAATTGTCATTATGAGATAACAAGTATACATATCCAGCATACTTCTAGTTTTAAGATGGCATTTTAAGAGCATATGATTATTTCCTTCTGGTTTTAAAATTGCACAGGAACAAAGCAATATAAAAAGAGAAAAGTCTGCTGCAGCACCAGAAAATAGAGAGGTACTGGTAACAGGCCAGAATTTGTTAAAGATACAAGGCAGAAAAGACTGGATTGAGAGAAAAGTTAACCACTATCGACCATCTTGTGAAAGGTTGGCCTAGGAAGGAAGGGGTTGGGTTTCTCCAGCAGAGTCCCAGAAGCTGCCAAGTTCAGAGCCACAGGTACTGGAAATAAGGGCAGGCCTCAGGACAGCCAATGGGGAAAGGCAAGTGAAAGAACTTGGGTTCCTCCCCAGAACCCCAGTCTGGCTGGCTGTTCACCCACAACTTCACATGGCTCCAATGAAGTCCAGGAAAAGTGGGAACTTTATCTCCATGTGCCTAACATAAGCAGTAGAATCTGACAGCTCAGGAATTCTCAGACATTTTTTACCATAGCTGACTTAAGTTGGAGGAGAAAAAATAAAAAGGAACTCACCACCACTCCCCCCAATTTTCCAACTGATTCAAAAGATTGTAAAGTTCATCTTGAAAACACGTGCAAATAGCTAGAAAAGCTCTGAAAACAAAGTATATTGGGAGGTGGGGGCCACTAGACTAAAGAGATCAATGAACCAAAAGGTTCAGAAATAGCCCAAGATGGGGCCGGCCCCGTGGCGCAGCGGTTAAGTGTGCGCGCTCCGCTGCTGGCGGCCCGGGGGGTTTGGATCCCAGGCGTGCACCGATGCACCGCTAGTCAGGCCATGCTGTGGCAGCGTCCCATATAAAGTGGAGGGAGATGGGCACAGATGTTAGCCCAGGGCCAGTCTTCCTCAGCAAAAAGAGGAGAATTGGCATGGATGTTAGCTCAGGGCTGATCTTCCTCACAAAAGAAAAGAAATAGCCCAAGAACACACAACTAATGCACGACACAGTCTAATGCACAAACTATGATAAAGATTACTCCTAAGTGGTCTGGGACAACTCACCATCTGAAAAACTAAGGTCCTCCTATCTCACATCAGAATAAATTCTAGATTTAAATATAAAAAATGAAGACACAAAAGTAGTAGAAGAAAATACAGAAAAATATATATATTTTTTTTTTATAATTTTATTTATTTATTTATTTTCCCCCCAAAGTCCCAGTAGATAGTTGTATGTCATAGCTGCAGATCCTTCTAGTTGCTGTACGTGAGACATGGCCTCAGCATGGCTGGAGAAGCGGTGCGTCGGTGCGCGCCAGGGATCCGAACCCGGGCCGCCAGCAGCGGAGCGCATGCACTTAACCGCTAAGCCACAGGGCCGGCCCCAGAAATATATTTTTAATATCCTAGGTTAGAAACAGGCTTCAAAGCCAGAAACTATAGTTTATAGGAGTCAAGTCTAAGATAAACAACAACTAGAGGAAAGACAGATAGATAGATATTCCCAACTAGGTCCATTTCCTTTGCAGATATGGAGTTTCTACAAACCAATAAAAAAAACACAATAGAAAAATAAAGAGACAATTCATGAAAGTAATACCAATGTCCAATAAAATGTTGGGAAGATATTCAGCCTCACTAGTTAAAGAAACGAAAACTTACTGGACAAAAATGAACTCAAAATGGATTAAAGACCTAAATGTAAGAGCTAAAACTGTAAAAATCTTAGAAGACAACATAGGTGTAAATCTTCATGACCTAGGATTAGGCAATGGTTACTTAGATATAACACCAAAAGCACAAGCAGCCAAAGAAAAATTAGATAAATTGGACATCATCCAAATTAAAAACTTTTGTACTTAAAGGAAACCATCAAGAAAATAAACAGACAACCATTAAATGGGAGAAAATTTTTGCAAATCATATATCTGATAAGGAACTTGTATCTAGATATTAAGAAATATAACAACTCGATAATAAAAAGACAACCCAATTCTAAAATGCACAAAACATCTGAATAGATATTTCTCAAAGGAAGATAACAAATGGCCAACAAGCACACAAAAAAGATGTCCTGCATCATTAGTTGTTAGCGAAATACAAATCAAAACCACAATGACATACCACTTCACATCCACTAGGATGGCTATAATCAAAAAGATAATAACCAGTGTGGATGAAGATGTGGAGAAACTGGAACCCTCATTCACTGCTGGTGGGAATGTAAAATGATGCAGCCACTTTGGAAAACAGTCTGGCAATTCCCCAAAAGGTTAAATATAGAGTTACATGTGATTTAGCAATTATATTCCTAGGTATACACCCAAGAAAAAGCAAAACAAATGGCCACACAAAAGCTTGCACGCAAATGTTCATAGCATCATTACTCATAATAGTCCAAAAGTGCAAACAACCCAAATGCCCAGCAAAGGTGAGTAGACAGGCAAAATGTGATATGTCCATACAATGGAGTATTATTCGACAATAAAAAGGAATGAAGTACTGATACATGCTACAACATGGGTGAACCCTGAAAACAGTACGCTAAGTGAAAAAATCCAGTCACAAAAGACTACTTAATATATGATCCTACTTTTATGAAATATCCAGAATAGGAAAATCTATAGAGAAGAAAGTAGATTAGTGGTTGCTAGGCACTGGGGAAGATAGAAGGTTTGGAAGTGACAGCAAGGAGTAGGAGGTTTCTTTTTGGGGTGATGAAAAGGTTCTAAAATTGATTTGCTGATGGCAAACTCTATAACTATACTAAAACCCCTTGTTTGTACATTTTAAATGGGTGAATCGTATGACATATGAATCATACCTCAATAAAGCTGTTTCTGAAAAAAAGAAATAAAAATTTAAACAATAATTACGTTACATGTTTAGAGGGTCTCCATCTGACAATAAACTCCCCAGGGCAGGGGTCCCTGTCTGTCTTATAACCTCTCCCAAGGGTACTCATCAAGCCTAGTAAAAAGACTAACACAAAGTCGACGCTTAATAACAGATCGACATCTCCTAGCAAAGTTGTTGTAAAATGAATTTCCACGGGGGGAAAAAAGAGTTTGTTTCCAGTTTGACTTTCATGTTTAAATCAGAGATGCTCTCCTATATTAAATCTCTCTCCACCCCGGATATGCACCAAGACTTGACAAAGAAATTTAAGTCTCCACTTGCTTCTCAAGTATCTTCCTACTCCCTGCTTCTACCCAGACTACAGAAAACCATACTTAAAGATACTCTGGATCCACTTTGGGCATTCTGGATCTGGCTTCAGTGCCTACACATGAGTGTTACTATATTTCACCACCAGGTGGCGATGTCTAACCTTTGATCTTTAAGTACAGACTTCAAATTAGCTGCCAGGCGGTGGAGCATAATTCCCCTTATGTACAGTGTGGGCTACGCATAAAGAATGACTTCCTTCCAAAGAGAACAGTATTGACAGGGAGAGAAAAAACAGTACCTGTACAGTAGAGAAACCTGACAAGCACTACCTAAAGTCAGGTGATCAAGGTCACCATCAACAGTGATAAACACTGTTGATAGTATATACCCTTGATACGATACGATGAGACTTTACCTCTGTGCCTTTCCTCTCAAGAACACATTACCCCAGTCTACTCGTGAGAAAAACATCAGACAAATCTCCACTGAGGTGCATTCTACAAAATGCCTGACAGTACTCCTCAAAACGGTCAAAGGTCATCAAAAACAAGGAAAGCTTGAGAAACTGTCACAAACAAGAAGAAGCTGAGACATGACAACTAAATGTAATGTGGTATCCTGGCTGGGATCCCGGAACAGAAAAAGGCCATTAGGCAAAAACTGAAGAACTCCGAATAAAGGACGTGTGGTCAACAATAACGTTATCATTACCAGTTCATTAAATGTGACAAATGTGCCATACTAACGTAAAGTGTTAATGATAAGCAAAAACTGGATGTGGGTATATGAGAACTCACTGTACTATCTTCATCATAATTCTGTACATCTAATACTGTTCTAAAATAAAAAGTCTATTTTAAAAAAATTTGCTAGCTGCCAATTTTGCCAAATTAAGATTTTAAGAAATAGTTCCAACTGCTTAAAAACTATAGTTTCTCATTCAGGGAAGTTTTTAAGTGATTAGAAGACAGAAAAGCAAAACTTCAGGCTTGGAGAGCAGAGGGGATACATGATAGGGGGTAGGGGGAGTTCCCCGATAAAGAATGGAGTCCCGGCAAGACCCATCATTTCCATCACGGCACTAGCAACATGGCCACCTTTGCCTTGAAGACCAAAGAAACTGCCAGAGTGTTCACAGCATATCCAGCCTCTTCCAACCATGGCGGGGAAAGCAGCACTGGAAGATGCAGTGTTAACAGGAAAATTGGTAGTGCTAAGAAATGATTCAACCATGGTTTTTACTGAAAGATAAAACCCTGAGAAGAGTTCTATGACCCAAATTGCCCTAAAGCCACTAAAGCCCAAAAAACCATCTAGGGTCTAAATAATAGTTATTATTTCTACTTAAAAAAAAAAGTAGTCAGAAAAGTACTCAATATGCATGTTGATTTAAGTAGTCTTTTAAATCTTATTTGCTCTGGTTCTATTTAAAAAATGTGCAGATGTAAGTAGTAGATAAATATTATGCTGCTTCAATAAACAGAGTTAGGTGGCTTTTTGATTTGTTTTTTAAATGAAAAACTGTGGGTGAATGGACTGTGTGCTCGATTCCTGCTCCCTGAATTACCCATGTCTAAAGACAGCCCTGCCAGCTGTGGCCTGAGGCATCTTGCTTCACCTGGTGGCAGCCATCCAAACCTCAAGAATAGTGTCTAGGAAGGGTAAGGCAGGCTTTAAAGAGGCAGCGAATGAGAATTAGGACTCTCCATACCTCGAAAAATTAACTGTCATAATGAAAGTGAAAATCTACCCCACCCCACTCAAGAAACCAGCATACTGTATAGCAAACTAGAAACCAAAACCCAAAAGGTGAAATAATATACAATATCCATGAACGTGTTTTACGTACATTTGATGGGTGAATCTGCTATAAAACGTAAGGCAGAGTTTGCCTGTAATTTAAGGGGTGAGAGTTGAGTGAACATCCTCAGAAAAGATCCTGCAGGAAAAGTGAGTAACAAGCTGTAATGACTTAGTACCTACGGGAATGAGATGAGTGGGCTGCGATTCTTCTAGTTTGTTCCTCAACCAGTCAAAATCCTGGTATCTTCGGCGAACAGAATATTCTGGCAGGTCAAACTCCACCCGAGTGCTCTGCAAATAAGAACAGTGGAACAAAATAAGCATAAGGGAATAGTAGCATATCTTGGCAGAAGAGAAGGAAAAAGCTCTCTTTGAATAACCAAACTGGGCAAGAACACATTTTCCTTCCACCAAACACACCAGCCAAATGGCAGGGTTTTACCAACACAGCATGACGAGTCTGGGCCACAGGGCCCAGTGAAAAATTCAAGGATCTAGGATAAAAATGTCAAGGGTTTTTTTTTTCTACCCTCAGGAAATGGAACTCAAGAATAGTGTTTAGAAACATTTGATTCATTTCCTCCAAGCTGAACTTTGAGAATTTCTTTTAGCAGAATAACTCTGATGAAGATATTGCTACTGAATCTGAATTATTAAGTCTCCACTTTCCGCTAAATACGCAAATGCGCTGACAAGTTTTGCCAAAGGCAGAGGGGAAACAAACAAAAAGATAACAGATCACCTGCTTATTTAGGAGCCAGATTAAATGAAAACAGAAAAGAAAATTTTGCTAAATCTGCCATATTCTGCCAGAACCATAACCTTGAAACTATATTGTATTTTAGATGTATAAGAAAAAATCTAGAAGGAAACAATAACAAAACACCACTGTATTGCAGAAAAATATTCATCTCCTCCTCTTTCCTAAATGTTAAAAGTTTTCTCAAATGTGACTGAGGTACTTAAATAATGAAAACCAATGTTAAATAAAATTAATTTATATCAAAACAAGAATTTTACACATTAATTTGCCTGAACTAAAATTTTGTCTCAGAGAAAGCATTTTTTTCCTATGAGAGTTACTGACTATATGATAGTCACAGTTCTCAAAAATTAAAGAACAAGATAAAAATGGCTCAAGCGACATTTATAAATTTACTCCCTCAAGCCAAAAGTCTGTTTTAATCCACAGCACCAAAAAATCTTAAAAACACACGAACAAAAGTGATCCATCAAAGAAAAAGCTGTGAACAGCTCTGGCATTCAAAATTATGATTTCATCCTCTCCGAAAGCCGTGCTCACAGTCTGAGCAAAACTGCGCGTTAAAGGACTCAGTCTTGGACTAACCCACTGATAACTCTTTCTGTATCTTTTCCCCTTTTCAAAGTCCCACGCACCAGCATATACCCATGAAACACAACTCTCCCCTATGATGGGGGATGAGGGTGGGAAGATGTGAGGAAATTCATTCAACTTAGGTATTTGTGATTTATTAGAAGACTCCCCAAAGGAATTAGCATTGTAGAATCAGACGGGAAAAAAAAAGAATACTTACATCCAAAGGACAAATCACTGTTAACATAAGGCGTATTCAGGCATGAGGGTGATGGAAATATTGCGGACAAGCAGCCTGACACCCCTCCCGGGCAGGGCGGGCAGAACTCTGCGCCTGAGCAGTCCTAGCACCCCCGCCAGACCCCTAAGACACCACCGAGCCTCCCGGAGCCTTGGTTTCCTCAACAGTTAAGAAGAGAGTTGGAAGGGACATTCTTCAAGACCCCAGAGAGCTCCTCAAAAGGCTGCATCGTAGAATTTGCTGATGATTATGGGCCCATGAAAGGTAGATTTTGACAGGTGACAAATGAACACAACTCATTTTCGTTGTAAACAGAACTGATGGAGGACTAAAAATTTGGATATAAAAGGTTAGAAGAAAAATCTAGAACTGATAATGACAACTGTCCTCTATATACTCACCCTTATTTCCAAATTGTCTACCATTCTCAAATAATACTTTCATAGTCACATAAAAAATGCTCATTTTTTGAAAACTACTTCAAGGACATAAGAGATTCAGTAAAGCTGTAAAAATGTGATGCTTTAGAAAGCAATAAGTTGGGGCCGGCCCCACGGCATAGCAGTTAAGTGCACGCGCTCCGCTGCTGGCGGCCCACATTCGGATCCCGGGCGCACACTGATGCACCACTTGTCAGGCCATGCTGTGGCGGTGTCCCATATAAAGTGGAGGAAGATGGGCACGGATGTTAGCTCAGGGCCAGTCTTCCTCAGCAAAAAGAGCAGGATTGGCATGGATGTTAGCTCAGGGCTGATCTTCCTCACACACACACACACAAAAAAATAGAAAGCAATAAGTTAAAAAATCATCATGAAACACAAGGATGCTCACACTCTCTGACCCAATATTTATTTTACTTATTTTTACCACAACTCACTCTAGAAAAGATACAGTGATACATGAAATACGATCAAATGACAAATTAGAAGTAGGTGACAAAGATAAAGGAAAAACAAGGACAGAGAGAAAAAGCAGAGCCAGGAACGAGGCTAGCAAAACAGTCACCACAGAATTCTGCACACCTGTTAAAACTAGGCCACAGACATTACCATGAATTTCTGGAGGGACACCCAGTCAGTTATAAGACTCGGAGTACTCATAAAATATGCAGGCCAATAAAACGCCAACTATGAGTTTGTAGTAAATTTTTCCTCTGTGAAATTCAGGGTCCAACTCAGAAAGGAAAATAAAGTAATAAGTGTTTATCTCTATTTTCTAATATCTATGGTAAACAAAACAATAAAAAAGAAAGAAAAGTGCACACCAACAATTTCATAATCAGAGACAAGCACTACACCATTTTGTCCTGTGTCCTTCCATACCATGTTCCACAATCTAGAACGCCCCACAAAGATCACAAGGTCATGGGTACATACCTAACGCCAGATCTGCAAATAGGTCACCAAGCACAAGAGCTGTAATGAAGAATATTCATTTTCACCATCGCTCCATATGAATATCTGCTTGGTCTTCTCTACGCATCCCTGCCAATTTTTTTGAGTTCAACACTTTAGAAGACCCAGCACAAAGCCACAGGGTAATCAGTCACCCAGCACAGCACCCTGTCCACTGGGCCTCACCCTACCACAAAAGAACTCTTATTCCCCAGGAGCTGATGTGCCCAACAACTGTGGCCTGGAGCCATTCCAAAGAATTTCCATTCAATCCAGAATTTATGACCAATTCACTCTAGAGAGATTTGGTTTTCATCACAAATGCCATCTGTCCAAGCCACAGCTGGATCCTAAGAAATCTGAGTGACCCCTCTCCCCCGCAAGGGGACCTCTTCCCCTGTCACATATTACTCAGCTAATCCCGTTCTGCTTCAGAGCCCCACTACCCTAAGAGAACACCTGAGAATGATGACTTTTGGCCTCTCCTCATGCTCCTCTGGGCTTCCTTTATTATGACATGAGCTGCCAGTTATCTCCTCCTCAGAGCCTTCCACCAAGCCCTCTGGAACACCCATTCCATAATTAATAAATTCCTACAGCTCTTCAATCTATTCAAATTCTGAAAGCTGGCTCTCCCCTGAGCATACAGCACTCCGGCTGTCCCATCAAGTGGAAAGCTGCTCTTTTTCTCACATTTCACAAACCTCGCCCCACCCTCCAAGACCAAGAGTTCCTGTTGGCATCCTCCTCACTCCACATTGCCTCTTACCACCACTCCTCCACAGCCCTGTGAAAACCCTTCTGAGGCTCATGCCATCAAGATATATACATCTCTACCCCTCCTCACACCTATCATCTACTGACGCCCCTGACAATTCTCCTGATTCCTTGAAGATTCTAGTAGCTGGCTCTCAGGCTTCCTTTCCACAGCTCTTCCATAATCTGGGTGCTCTGGAGATCAAAGTGGTTCACACATACAACACCTACCTCTGAGCCAGCAATGCCGCCTTCCCCTCTCATGACCTCTCCACAGACTTTGTCGTCAGGCAGAAATTCAGACGTCTCCCTCTCTAACCAGCACCTCCTGTATTTCAGACTCTTCCATTTCCCATACCCCTGGTTTTTCAGCCTCTTGGGACCTACAGTTCCTTGACATTCTGTCCATCTCCGTCTTTACTTCCTGCTTTATTCAGCACCAATTCCATGACCCATCACTTGAACCTCTTACACTTGCCAATATCCTAAACACCCCTTTCTCCACTGTCCGTTCACACAACTCTGGCAAAAACGCAACCATCCACTTCTCGCTTTACTAGACCCGGGCATGTGAGCACACTCCTGGAGGAAAAACAAAATCAGGCAAACTCTGATTGACACAATCAATTCTAGAACCGGATCCTCAACACTGCCAAGCAATCTTTTCATACTTCCTTAGTCAACTCTCTCCCTCATTTTCTACATCAGTTAATGCAAAGCCTGTAGAAGTTTTGAAAACTTCTAAGCCCGACTTCAAAACCTCCCCTTCGCTCTTAGAAGACCTCATCGTCTATTCATAGAGAAAATTGCAGCTATAAGCAAAGAATCGCTCAACTTCCCGCCACAAAAAAAAAAAAAAAAAAAACACTTCCCTTCTTCCTCCAGAAACAACGGAAAAAGTACACCTCCCCCATCAGAGACCACTCATTCCCTCCACTTCTCCTCAGGATACTCTCCTTCCACTTTCTCAGTGGCTTCCATCCTGCTCTCCAATCTTTAACTTAATGTCTCCTTCTCTGCCAACACTGGCTTCTTGGCACATAAACAAGTCTCTTCCATTCTTTAAAAAAAACAAACAAAAAGCCCCTCCCCCGTCAAATCCACATCCTCCTCCCGCTACTGTTCTTTCTGTAGACTGGCTTTCCATTGCCAAACCAACACTCATGGTTTCTCATCTTTCTTATTTCTCCTCACCCTAACCCACTGCAAACTGGGTTCTGCCCCACCACACCAATGAAACTGTTCTCACCAGTCATCAATAACCTTCTGTCCTCAAATCTAACCTTCACCTTGTAATCCCTATATATAACTTGACCTCTGAGCAGCGTTTAGCCTCTGTTGACCGGTGAGGCATTTGAAAAGAGGAACTAGATGGGACATAAGACTTGGTGATGACTCACTGGCGATGGGGTAAAAGACAAGAGGAGGATGACCTCAAAAGGAGCTGAAGGCTCCTCTCTATTTCCGCAAGCTCCAGTCTCTTCCCACATCATCCTCAGTCTCAATAGTCAGGCCATGGTGTGCACCACAGTGCTGGGGAGATGGGGAGGCAGCGGGGCAGGGGTGGGGGGCAGGGAGGAGGGAGCAGTCCTCTCTTGAAAATCATGTCTTTTGAAAGTATAGCACAAGACAGATCTGGATTCCAACTCTAGTTCTACCACATATTAGTTGCATGTCTTTGAGCAATTTTCTTAATATCTCTGTGTCTCAGTTTCCTCATCTGCAAAAGTAAGAATACTACCAGTATCCTACTTCATTGAGAGTGAAGATTAACTGATGATATATTTAAAGCACTTAGTACAAGGGCTGGCCCCGTGGCTTAGCGATTGAGTGTGCGCGCTCCACTGCTGGCGGCCCGGGTTCGGATCCCGGGCTCGCACCGACGCACTGCTTCTCTGGCCATGCTGAGGGCACGTCCCACATACAGCAGCTAGAAGGATGTGCAGCTATGACATACAACTATCTACTGGGGCTTTGGAGGGAAAAATAAATAAATAAAATTATAAAAAAAAAAAAAAAAAGCACTTAGCACAAAATAAATGACAGCTCATCCATACAGTGGAACACTGTTGCAGTCTCAGAAACGATAGCATAAAAAGTGTGCTTACTGGCACTTACTAGCATAGAAAGATATGTGCAGGGGCCAGCCAGTGGTGCAGCAGTTAAGTGCGCGCGCTCTGCTTCAGCAGCCTGGGGTTCACAGGTTCGGGTCGTGAGCGCGCACCGACGCACCACTTGTTAAGCCACGCTGCGGCGGCATGCCATATAAAGTAGAGGAAGATGGGCACGGATGTTAGCCCAGGGCCAGTCTTCCTCAGCAAAACAAGAGGAGGATTGGCATTGGATGTTAGCTTAGGGCTGATCTTCCTCACAAAAAAGAAAGAAAGAAAGATATGTGCAACGTATTAGTGACTTGGCAGCATGCAAAATACTCATTTTTGTAAATGTATAGAGACAAATAGTTCAGAAAGTTATAAATGACTATTTCTGGCTGGTGAGCTTATAGGGGTTCTTTTATAGTTTTAGCTTACTTGAGTTTTCTAATTTCTCTACAATGAGCACACATTACTTACATAAAATAAAAATTAAAGGGTTTCTATCACAAAAAAGTACAGTATGTGGTAAGTGCTCAATAATTAGCTACTACAGTCATGCACTGCATAATGTCATTTCTGTCAACGACGGACCGCATATACAACAGTGGTCCCATAAGATCTGTACAATACAGCCTAGGTGTTACACCAGGCTATGCCATCTAAGTGGTATGGTGTTACACAAACACTAAGTTTGTGTACGCACATTTTATGATGTTCACATAATGATGAAATTGCCTAACAATGCATTTCTTAGAATGTATCCCCGTTAAGCCACACATGACTGTATTATGATGTTACTTTCTAGGAGCCCGCGGAGAGAAGAGCCAGGATCTGCCTGCCCTGAGAAGGCCCGGGCTGGCTCTCCACCACTGGAGAGATAATATGCCCCTGACTTAGATCTGGGTGGAGAATGCTTTGCCTACGTTGGCTCTCAGCCCTAAGCTCATTTTCGCTCAGGCAAAAGCAGCTCTGTACTTTGGCCAGCGTTGGTCATCGGGAATCTGAATTAGGACTGAAGAGTCGAAGCTCAAATTAATCAAGTAAGTATTTGTGTGACCTTGTGCTCTGACCACTCACTTTGCTTGAGAACCACAGCAGAAGTGGGGGTCCAGAGACAAGATGAGGTGTTTGGGACACTGTGTTCCTATCTGGACCCTCTCTCTCAACCCCACACCTCCCTATGTACCCTTTAACACAACATTCAGAAAGAAGGCTCCAAACGCACCACCAAGATGTTAAACCTGGTGCCACTACTTGAAACAGGAAAAGAAGAGGACTCTGGTTTGAGATCAGAAATGGAAATGACGGTAAGAAGTAAGACTTAATTCTCCCACAAGTTCCCCTTGAGGAGTCAGCACCACAGTCAAGTGAAAATGTGGGACTGGGACTGGGAACAGCTTATCCTAAGACATTATCTGACTTACAGGAAATCAAATAACCCCAGGAAAAGGGATAGAAATAGAAACGCAAAGGAGGAAGAGGAAGAAGGAAGGAAAGAGAACAGGCACAGGAAAGGCTGGGGAGCTGCAGCACGTGCCGGAGCCTGTGAATGAGTTAAGGGCCCTGAGGTATTAGCATTTGGAGAGGTAAACTGCCGGGCAGAGGCATCAAGTAGGGCTGGGAAAACCTCGAGGTAGGCAAGTACTGCTGTGCCAGCGAGGCAGTCACCTTGTCATTCAGCTGTTTAGAGCACAAATTCAAGAAAAACAAGTTTTGCATTTCACTGACTCCAGGGTAAAAAATAAGTTGACCCTAGGGGGAAAAAAATAAGTAACTGGAAATAATTCATGGGAATATGGGCAGCAACCTAGGACCTCTGAGGATATAATATACATGTAAGTGCCTAGCTCAACACCTGGGAAACAGTGGACACCCAGTGGCAATGGTGACGGGTGACTGCGAGTGCATATGCGTGTGCACACACACACAGACAAATTTTCAACTGTGAACCAGGTGTGGAAAGGACAAGGCAGTAATATCATAGTGGCACAAGGCAGAAAGTCAGTAATTAGTTCCCATCCTTCTCTTACTCGTTCTCCCCCTACCATCAAGTCTAATTATATCAAGTTATAATCACGGTCTCATCACAGAGATTTAGGTTGATAGAACGATTCATAAATTTCAAGAGTAATGTGATATTAATGTGTTAAATAGTATCATGATAGAAAATAAGTGAAAGTATAGGGATTAAATGTTGTATTTGAAAGACTGTAGTCACAATTTCTCCTTCACTTTAAGATAAAAAACTTGCATATAATCCTTTTAATCTAAATACATCCCCTCTCTCAAATAGCCACACCCACAACTATAATAAAGGTAAACAAATTTGTACAAAGGGAGGGAGAAAGCAAAGGCAGAAATCATGGCGGTAGGACTCCAATTCTCCAAGACCATTCAACACGGGCAGAAGACAATGAAGGGACCTACTTTGGTGGTGATCCTATAGGTGATGTAGGTCTCCATTGTACAGACGTGCTTCTTGGGATCATCAACAGTGACAAAGAGATCTCTGGTCTCACCATCAAGGTCGTCATCAAGCTGAAGTCTGTTGAGAAGGGAAGATGAAGAAGCGGGACTTGAAGTGCCTGCTGGAGTACCACCGTTGGGCAAAATGAGATCCTAAAAGAAGAAAAGAAACACCTTACAAATTAAATGAAAACACACACCTGGAGAATATCAGCAAAAGTAGCTGGTTTAGCCAAACCAAGAAACATTTCTAAATACAAAAATAGCTTTCAAAAAATCTGAGCCTCTCCTTACTTCATGTTTCTGAAGTGAACAGGTCCTTTATGACCAAGAGAAACAAACTATGGCAGTGCTCTACGGCAAATTCATGCCAGTTCATGTTCTAGTAAGTGCTGCAGGAACCCACAGAAGCAAATACTTCATGGACAGAGAACGTAACAGCTCCACCACCTTCAGACTTCGACAGAGAAAGAACTCTGTGAGCACACCACATACTCTTTTTCCCACTTTCCCAAGACCATCACCTGGGCCCAGGTAAACATTAAAGGGCCTGAACCCCCTTAAATACTCAACACTTTTAGAAACTCAATCAACCATCACAAAGAAACAACTAAACATCATGTGCCTCCTGAAAGATGTTCACATCACCAACTACAAGGTACGCTTGCCAAAAAATGGAATCTGAATCCTGAACAAATCTCTAGACACAACACCAATTTATAGGAAACACAGATGAGTGAGGAACATGTTCAACAATACTATGAGGATGCAGTCAGCAAAATCCACACTATATGAAACTAAAGAGAACCAAGGACCCATTTTCTTCAATAAATAAATTGCAAAGAAAAGAGAGAGAGAGGAGCATCTACAGACGTAAAGAAATTTAAGAGATATATCAACAATTGTAATGGATCTTGATTAAAACAAATGTTAAAAGATTTTTGAGATATTCATGGAAATTTAAATACTGATCAATTATTTGATGATATTAAGGAATTATTAGGAAATATTATTATTTTACAAAATCTTAATCTTTTAGAAATATATACTAAAATATTCATGGATGAAATCACAGGATGTCTGGTATTTGCTTCAAAATAATTAAGAATGGGTAGATGGGATATAGACGATACAAGATGCCCCACAGCTGATAACTGTTGAAACTGGTAGTTGCAAGTTCATTATACAAGTCTCTCCGCTTTTGTATATGTTTAAAATTTTCCACAGTAAAAAGTTTAAAAAGTGGGAAAGGGAGGGAGGAAACAAATGACAGAAAAGAAAAGGAAAGAAAGATAAAAAATTATGGACCTCTTTCTCTTTAGGCCTTAGTAGGAAGCCACCTGAATAAATTACGTCCCTACAATATCCAAAAAAGGCACAGTCTTAGTTACCTTTTTGGTTTTAAGGTTTAATAACAGAACAGACCCCATCTAGCAGCAGATGTGAAGGCCTCTGAACGTCACCTTGGAAGCATGAAGAGGCAAAGACTAAGGAATATGGCAAGAAAGTGACATGACACCATGGAAAGGGCCTTGGTCAGGACTACAGAAAACACTCCTGACCTGTGGGTCCTCAGATCACGGGGTGAGGGTGGGAATTCCCCCAAATTCTCTCTTTTTTTTTTTTTTTTCCTTTTTCTTTCTTTTTTTTGTGAGGAAGATCAGCCCTGAGCTAACATCCATGCCAATCCTCCTCTTTTTGCTGAGGAAGACTGGCCCTAGGCTAACACCCGTGCCCATCTTCCTCCACTTTCTATGGGACGCCGTCACAGCACGGCCTGACAAGCGGTGCATTGGTGCACGCCCGGGGTCGGAAGCCGGGCCACCAGCAGCAGAGCGCGGGCACTTAACCGCTACGCCACCAGGCTGGCCCCCGAATTCTCTCTTCTTGTGAGCAGTCTGGATATGACTTAGCCCCTAGATAAGAGAACATACAGGAAATGAGAGGTCACATCCATGAGCTGCTGCTCAACATGGGACATCTGGGAAGTGGGCTGGGACAAGGCAGAAGGAAGCATGGCCTGGGGTCAAGGGCAACGTCACGCAACTGGGTGGGTGATGGAAAGTAACAGAAAAGGCACCTTCCTTTGTCTCCCGTTTCCACTGACCACAGATAATTTAGTCACATACTTCCTTAGGCAGTGTTAAAAAATTTTTTTGTAATTACTGAAAGGGTACCATTTTCACAGAAGGTACTCATGGGAATGGACCCCACCCTCCACTTTTCCTCGGCTATGCTTCCGACTAGAGGGCAGATCCAGGAGCTTGTCAGCTGGGAAGTCAAACCCCTCAACAGCTGCTCTCAGTGTGGACAGGACAGCAGAACCCAGCTACAGCAGCACCCAGCTGACCTGGCTGCTTTCTCAGTACAGTGACACCACAGGACATGCACTGTCCACACCCTAGTGTCTACGGATCAGAGAGGGGACATCTTCTCTGGAACTCTGAGATAACCATCATGTCTTCATCATTTCAGTAAATATTTAAACACTGACTTTGGAAAAGGCACCATGGCATTGCAGGGCCCACCCTTAACATTTTATCAACACTAGCACCTGGGCCTCAGAGCAGCTCCATCGATGGCTAAACATTGCACAAAAGAACAAAAGAATTCAAAATCTTTAGTCAGATAAGCCAACATCAGCTCAGACAGCAGTTTTCCACAATCTGACCTGGACCAATCTCAGCAGCCTCGTTTCCCACCAGGGCATCAGTTCCTGGAACCAACAATGCTGTTTCATACCCCTCATCTTTGCTTGCAAAGCCCCCCTCCTCTTTTTTATGCAGAGTCTCCAAATATCTCAGAGGAACCTTCTCAAATGCCCCCTCCTCTTGGAATCCGTCCTTGATCCATTCTCTGGCAGAATTAGTCACTCTCTTCTCAGTACTTTGAAGATACTTCCCCCAAATTAATTTTCACATTTTTAATCATTTATTTACACACATAACTTATCCATAAACACTGTGAGTCCCCAACAACTGTAGCTACGCCGTGTTCACCTGTGTGTGTGTGTTGTGTGTGTGTACTTATCTGTCCATCTGTTTGCAGATCTCCCAGTGACTCCAAGCCAACTCCACTAACCTTTGCTCTGTGGACCTCAGCCAATAACCTTCCAGCAACAGCCCAAACAAAGGTCTGAAATGTCTTGGCCAGACAGTGGGAAGTTAATGAGTTCTCAAATCAGTTGGTGGGGGTGGGGGAGGGGAGAGTCAGTCAACCAGATCTTGTCACAAGCTGCAGATTCTTTTTTCTTAGGACCACACGACCAGGGAAAAGACCCACACTCTCATTATGGGGGGTTTCATGGAATATTATTTGAGCATATACAAATAGCTGACAAGCTACAAATGCCTGTAATTTCTTAAAAAGGGATGCTACCACCTCAGATTTCCACGGCACATGTGTTCACAGTGCTTCCACGTTCTTAGTTCATTGCACCCATGTCAGCCTCATGAGGTTTGCAGGACAGAGGTTGCCTCTACCAATGCGGAAGCAGAATCAAAAACGTTACGTAACGGGTCCAAATGCATGGAAGCTAGTCGTTGCTATGCTAGAAGTTGAACCCAGGTTTCTGGTTCCTAGTTCAAGGTCCTTATCGAGCTGAATCCCGTTTGTGTGGCTTTTTCCAACCCAACACTGTCCCTCACCTCCATTCTCTGGCCCTAAATCCTTTTGAGTAAACGTGAAGCTTCTGTTTGTAAAGCCAGTCAAGGAAAGCTAACATTTTCCTTTAGAGTCCTAATACAAGTTATTCCCCAAATGACTCCCCTCAAGATTTGGTTCCCATGAGAAACAAAGGTGGAGGGAAAATATGAAGATCTTAGGAGGAAAAGGCAGAGGGTTAGGAGAACTGAACGATGCGGGTTCCTCCACCCTCAGAGTCCTCCAGCAGTGGTTTGCTTCACTGAGAGACCTGAGCTCCAGAGCAGGTACCGTGGGATAGCAGCACCTTTATGACCAACATCAATCACAGAAGCAAGAGAATCCCTTGGCTCAACACAAAAGCCTCTGGTTTTATTTTTGCCACCCTACCTACAGTCAGTCCTCCATACTGCAGCCAGACTGTTCTTTTCAAAATGTGAATCAAAACATGTCACTCTCCTGCTCAAAACTCTCAAAGACATCAGCCACTCACATTCAGAATAAAATTCAGACTCCCTCCCATAATCCGCAAGGACCAACCTAACCTTGTCATTCCCAACAACCTCATCACAGACGTGCTCCCTCCAGCTCATCTCGCTCTAGATGCTCTGGTCTTGGCTCATTTTGTCCGTAGGGCCTTCGTACCACTGTTCACTCTACCTGAACACTCCTCTCCCCTCAGATTCCCATGTGGTGGCTCCTCTCTTCAAACAGGTTTCTGCTCCAATGACACCTACTCAGAGAGGCCTTCTCAGCCCACAAAAACCCAAAACTATCCTGACCCCTCCATCACTTTCCAGCGCCTGCCCTGGCTTTATTTTAGCCACAGGACTTATCACTATCTGAACATTTATTATATATTGAGTGTCTGTCTGACTCCCCACTAGTCTGTAAATTCCACAAGAGTAGAGACTTTTTCTTGTTCATCCCTCTGTCCTCTGGCACACAGTAGGTTCTCAATACGTATTTGATGAATGAATGAGTCTTAGAAATGACCCAACTCAATCCCTTGCCAACAGAAGATACTCAATAAACATCCATCAAATGGCAACAAAACTGAGGCTAACCTGAGCCAGACTGCCCAGCTTTGAATCCCAGTTCCACTATTCACTAGCAGTGTGATTTAAGCAACTTTCTTAACCTCTCTACGCCCCAGTCTCCTCATTTATAGAATGAGTATAATGGAATTGAGTTAGTTAGTATATGGAAGCAGTTGGAATAGTGCCTGGAACATGGTAGATGCTACATCACTATTAACATACTCACACACAAAAAAAAATGAAGTCAACTTGTCTGCAAGTATTCTTGCAGTCCCTATAGACTATAGGGCTGGGTTCACACAGACACTTAATAAACAGTGCTGAAAATAAAAATTGTATCCAGAGTCATAGTTGGTGCCTCAAATACACTTTTCTTAATGATTTTACTGTAGCAATAAATATCTACAGTAGCCCTTGTGAGTGTTACCACTACACAGTTGAGAAATGAAAACTCCTCATTGCTCCAAAATA